CAATCAGAATTGGCTGCAGCATTAAATATTGAACGATCAACTGTTGCAAAGCGTTTAAAGGCAATGGGAATGGTTCAAAAATTTGGTAACTGGGTTCCATATGAATTGAAAGAAAGAGACATGGAACGTCGAAAAACAATTTGTGAAATGCTACTTCAAAGACAGCAAAGAAAAGGATTTTTGCATCGAATAGTCACAGGAGATGAAAAATGGATATATTATGAGAATCCTAAATACCAAGAAGCTTATGTGAAGCCAGGTGCACCCGGCCCATCCCAGCCAGAAAGAAATATTCACAGTGCCAAGGTTATGCTCTGCCTTTGGTGGGATCAGGGAGGTGTTGTATATTATGAGTTGCTTGAACCTTCTCAAACTATTAATGGAGAAGTTGTAGCTGCAGATGGAGCATACTTTCAATAAACTTTTCTTTAATTTTCTAAACAAGAAATGTATTTTATTTGAACAAAAAAGGGCGGAGTCATATTCACACACCCAATAGGTAACGGTGTACATGGCACTGTGTGCTTCTGAAGGGTGAAGAGTTCTCAGGAAAGTATTGTTGACGAATTATTTCCCTTATTATTGAGAATCATCTCGAGTTTACTGCCATAACCGGAATAAATATATTTCGAATATTTATGAGATTAAAGAATTCACGTCGATTGTTACTTTTTGTCTCAACACGCACCTTTTCACATTGCCGGATATTTTAGAAATACCAGACCATGTCACACCGTCATTGGTTGATTCTGTGCAATTCGAATTTTAGTTTTTGTGCGTTTTGGGAGAAAACGTACTGGCGTCCAACTTTTTGGTTATAAGATTGGTCGCCGAGGGCTGCGTATTTTTGTCTCGTGTCCGCAGAGAGGCAAAATACGTCACAGTATGTAGGGGAGAATTATGTTATATGGGAATTTTTTACATTTTTTGAAATGTCAACAATTCATTGAATTGTTGAAGAAATGGGATGATTCTTTCTTTCCTTGTAAAGTACAATTTTTCGTTTTCCTGATGAGGCCGGACTGAGCTTAATTAATGAATGTATTTCGTAGCTACAAATTACAAAAAAAGTCAACAATGTATCCATTTTGCCTCAGCCTCCCTTATGTGGTTTTTTTCTTCGTTTTTTTTTTCGAAATTTTCGTATAAGAGATTAATTGAATTTCCCGGATATTTTCATAGATATAGACTCACCGGTGGCTCGGCGCAGTGGGTAAGTTCATTGCCTCACATGCGAAAGGTTCCGAGTTCAAATCCCGGCCGGGTAGAATCTAACCATTTTAAAGTCTTGATCATCATCGCAGTATGCCCTGACCGGGTCGAAGCGATGTAAAATAACGATAAAAAAATAGATATAGACTTTAATAAGCTCTATTCTTTGACACCAATTGAAATTTAATTTTTCACATAGATTCGAAAAAAATTCTATTTGTCCAAAAATAGATCTTTCAACAATCACTCAAATAATTGTCATCGAAATGGAATTAGTTATGGCTCCTAAAATTGATAAGAATACCCTCTTGATTCTATCAAAATATGATGGGGGTCTCACAATTTGTTGTTAAGTTACGTCTCATTGTTTATGCGATTTGAAAGAGAAAATCAGTTTTTTCGTGATTATTCGAAGAAAAGTGCATTTTAATGCCTTCTTAATCAAGTTGAAAAATGGTGAGACCAGAATTATTGCTTATCATGAGCTTTTTATATAAAAACCTCTGTCTCTTAGCCTGACAGTGGGCGCGCTATGAGCATTTCATGCACGCAACGCTAGTCAACCTACAGGACGTCTCTGCAGTGCGAGTGAGATCCTATCGTAAAAAGGAGAAAGGAAATCGATCTCGAAATATCTCAAAAATCTCGAATAAGCGTAAGCGTAAGACTAAAGCGAAGCGCCACTACGTGAGGAGATGGGAAGGCGCGTGCGTAACAGGCGCGGCCGATTTCGTACTAAAAAGAGCGCGACTATTGACGGGTTAACCCATCAAACAGCCTCACAGTACACCAATTACAGTTTACCATTTTGTGATAGTGTGCGTGCGCAGCCCGGCCTTTTTTGGGGGACACTAATACATTGAAAGGCTCCTTAGGCTTCTCACACCGATATGTTTCGAGACCTACGCTGTTCAACGGGTTAAAGTGTTTTGTTCGGTAAAGATAAATAATAACATTTATCTGGAATTCGTATAAGATGTTCAGAATCGCAATTGAATTATCTATAAATTATTCTAGATTTTTTTGAGATTTCCTTGTTAAGTTTGTGACATTGTCTGATATTTCTAAAATATCAGGCAATGTGAAAAGGTGCGTGTTGAGACAATAAGTGACAATCAACGTGAATTCTTTAATCTCTCGAATATTCAAAATATATTTATTCCGGTTATGGCAGTAAACTCGAGATGATTCTCAATAATAAGGGAAATAATTTGTAAACAATACTTTCCTGAGAACTCTTCACCCTTCAGAAGCACGCAGTGCCATGTACACCATTACCTATTTGTTGTCCTGTGTGCTCGTGCTTGATCTAATTTAATTACTGTATTGTGGGGAAGAGGATATTATTCAGTAAAGAGAAAGATTATCGAGTTACTGAACAGTCTGTATTCTAAAAAACGGAACTTAACTAACTTTATAAACAGGAAACAAATGATTTTGTTACAGGCGGGTCGTCACTCAAAATAATAATAATAGAAATGAAATAAGGCTATCGTTCAATAAGAAAAATAGAAGAAAGAAGAATAATCAAAAATTATAGTAATAATAATACAAAATGCCGGAAACTCCGGTTCACCCAACTCGATACAATCCAAAAGAATTATGAACCAAAGATATTTGTTGAATTGCTATCCGGAGAAACACTGAAGAGGCTCAGTTGTTCATTTATTAATTTCTCAATGGTAAATGTACGATGAGCAGGTCCGTAGACACCGCCTGGGCTTCTCAAATGCCTGTTATCCGCGATACTAGCCACGATATCTCTCTTTTTCACTCGAGCCTCTGGAGAACAATCAGACAAAATAAAAAGATGAAGAATACAATACTAAATCCGAATGATAAATAAGTAGAATAATCCCTATTCAAAGCCAATTAATTTGTCCCAATATTATCTGTAGCTTAGACGCTAGTAACGCCCACAATAAATTATTGTATTTCGCTCCGGTATGCACAGACTCGACGGCCACGCGGTTTTATCAAGATGGAGTCAATAGTCTCCGTTTGCAACGAGATTCCTCCTGCCAGAGAAGCTGACAGGAGCTTCAATGAGCCCCAAAATGCTCTCGTACTTACTAATGACCCCGTCGCACCAATGACAATATTTTATATATGCACACTCACTCTAATTACTCGTCCTGATCCAATATTACGCCTCGATTCCGTCCCTCGCCACGTGTTCGCCCGATGAATAGAATATTCGCCTGGATATTTGCCGCGTGTATTCCGCCTTGTAATTGCCCTCAGTCGCCTCAAAAACCTCCGGATAAGGTCCGGAGAACCTTGTTCCCACCTCCGTTGTCGAGTTTGCATGAAAAGCTTCTTAATTGGACCCACACAATAGATACGAAAATTAGAGAAACTTAAAGCGATGCAAAGCGATTGACAGAAGAGATGGAAGTGATGATGGAGAAGGCGGAAGTAATAATCGTCCTCTCCGTCTCAGGCTATCTCGCTCCATTTCTCTCGGGCCTTGACATCGGCCCGGATATGAATTATTGGCCATTCCTGGCCCCAATTACATAATATCGCCGGCCACGTGCTGTGCGGTGGTGCCTTCTATTTCTTCAGGTGTGGATCTCCGGTGTCAGGTGGTATTTGACGTCTTTCCGGTATTGCCAATTGTCTCGTGCATGAATCGATTGTGTTGTACGTGTCACTGTTTAGGTTGGGTGGGCCCGTAACGTGCTGCGCCCTGGTAGTGCATTTCAGGGCCCTCGCGAGATCCAAAATCCTCCGGTTGACACCGTGTTGACATGTGTCCGTATCCCGAGAGTAAATAGGGAAACCTCTGGTGTATTGGTGGTGAAATTTTTGGCTTCCAGACGGTGTTACTCGTTTACCAGGCCTGCTGATGATCCTCTCCGGTGATTAATGACCCCTCGATACTCAGAAAATGAGCCAGGACTTCTCGTTGACATTCTTAATCTCATTAACTCAATCCCAATCATTCATAACCTTCCACTCTAGTGACCGGATCGTGCGCGTATTATTTCTTTAATTATTTATTTTCCCTACACGTCCAATCGAGGACTGAAGCCCCTTCGTCACAAGTTATTCACAATTGAAGTCACTCCTCATTTTTCAGGATTTAGCTGACCTCAAGTCTTGAGAGGGTCTGAATGTTGAATTATTTGACCGAACGAAATAATACGCCAAATTTTTATGACCTTTCAATAGATCATAGTACTATGACATGTAATGATTTTTCTTTGGCTTCAATAAATACGCAATAAACCCTAACCCAAAAATTTTCGATTATCCAAACANAATCACCCACCTTGGGCCTTACTCCCTCCAGTCTCTCCTACCCCTACTATCTACCCTCTGAGGACTTTACCAAAATCCTCCGAACTCTAGTTTTAAGCAGAATAAATCGAACAGTCTAAGAGTAAACATCCATTCAGGAAGATATCCAAAGTACTTGTATTTAGTCTTAATAATAATAAAGATTTCGTGTTTAACTTGAAGTTAGTATTTTCTTCAATCCGGAATCCAACAACACGGCCAAATCATTACTTTCGTTCTCGTAATCCGACAAATCTGAAACGCCAAAAACCAAAACGATAAAACTGGACTCCGGGAATAGCAGCAGCTAGTTCAATCCTTGCTTCGAATATTTAAGGTGCCAGCCGATTTTTAGCGACGCGGAATCGACGAACCGCGAACGGAACCTTATTTACTTAAGGGGGTCTGCGCTTTTCCGGGCGGCGAAAATGGCAACTTTTCCACAATTTTTATTTCGTATGAAAAAAAAAGTTACAAATTTGATTTTTTTAAGATAATTTTTATTATCTTTCTACTAGTGAAATAACAAAACTTTTCATCCTCCCTGACAATCTGCAATTAGTTATTTGATGATGAAGTAGACGGGCCCCAACACTGATTAAATGATTGAAAATTAAGTTTCGAGATTCCAACACATCTGAAATAAGAAAATTGCATGTTTTAGTACTCAGCAAACATCTGGCTTCGTCCCCTAGCAGAATAAATGCAATAAATTGAAAAAACAAATAGGGGAGAGTGGGGCAAAACGGCCCCCCTTCAATTGTCAATAACTTGTGAATGACATTGTGAAAATCCCCAGTTTCAACTTCATTTTGAAGATAATTTTTCATTTTTCAAAACGAGCTCTAACTCATCCCAATCGAATTATTGAATCGGAAAATATTGACGATTGTAGCGGGGCCGTTTTGCCCCATCCTCCCCTAAAAATTCTGCTTTTCCGGATAAGGCCCAGTTTGCCCGGGAAAATTCGGGCCTACAATTTGTAATAAAACTGAAATTATTGAAGCTATTATTCTGAGCGTGGTAGGCGAGAAAGCTCTGTAGATGTCAAATAGGTGGTAAAAATTTGAAATCGATTGGTGATTAACTTTCTGAAATATTCTGTAAAAAAATTCATGAGAAATTTCCGGAATTTTAGTTCCGAGAAAATCGCCTTTGAACTTCCGGATAAGGTGCGCCAGGCACTCTCGTGCCGGGGAGGAAAAGGTGGTGAGCGCTTGGTACTCCATCAGTACACTCAATCAGCAATTCCGGCGCCATACAATGCCCCTTCTTCTTTTTCGAAAAAATCCTGTTCTGCACATTTTTCTGAATTTTTGGCAATTCGTGCACGATTGAGACCGTCTAAACCCACACTAAGAAGTCGAAACACAAAAATTATGCGACGGTTTATTTCATATTTTCTGTCTATCATTGGGCTAGAAGGTACGTCTTTTTTGCTACATTTACATTGCAGAACAATACGAAATCCCAAACCACGAATTGAACCTTTCGAAAAGTTTATGTCATCCTCACAATTTTTGCAAATCACTGCACTACTATTAGCNTCAATTGTCAATAACTTGTGAATGACATTGTGAAAATCCCCAGTTTCAACTTCATTTTGAAGATAATTTTTCATTTTTCAAAACGAGCTCTAACTCATCCCAATCGAATTATTGAATCGGAAAATATTGACGATTGTAGCGGGGCCGTTTTGCCCCATCCTCCCCTAAAAATTCTGCTTTTCCGGATAAGGCCCAGTTTGCCCGGGAAAATTCGGGCCTACAATTTGTAATAAAACTGAAATTATTGAAGCTATTATTCTGAGCGTGGTAGGCGAGAAAGCTCTGTAGATGTCAAATAGGTGGTAAAAATTTGAAATCGATTGGTGATTAACTTTCTGAAATATTCTGTAAAAAAATTCATGAGAAATTTCCGGAATTTTAGTTCCGAGAAAATCGCCTTTGAACTTCCGGATAAGGTGCGCCAGGCACTCTCGTGCCGGGGAGGAAAAGGTGGTGAGCGCTTGGTACTCCATCAGTACACTCAATCAGCAATTCCGGCGCCATACAATGCCCCTTCTTCTTTTTCGAAAAAATCCTGTTCTGCACATTTTTCTGAATTTTTGGCAATTCGTGCACGATTGAGACCGTCTAAACCCACACTAAGAAGTCGAAACACAAAAATTATGCGACGGTTTATTTCATATTTTCTGTCTATCATTGGGCTAGAAGGTACGTCTTTTTTGCTACATTTACATTGCAGAACAATACGAAATCCCAAACCACGAATTGAACCTTTCGAAAAGTTTATGTCATCCTCACAATTTTTGCAAATCACTGCACTACTATTAGCAAAAACTGTCATAAAGTTAATCAGACAATAATGACTATTGTCGGTGATATCGAATTTTTCAGCGGCTCTCTTCCTTAGTTTAACTGCTGATGCACTTACGAATGATGTATTACCTACTTTGGTATACTGATTGCCACGGAATTTACGTTTTTTCCCACGCGAAGGATTATTCGGATTTGCCCGGGATCCTTTTCTGTCCATTTCGTTCGCAACGAGATTCCTCCTGCCAGAGAAGCTGAGAGGAGCTTCAATGAGCCCCAAAATGCTCTCGTACTTACTAATGACCCTGTTGCACCAATGACAATATTTTATATGTGCACACTCACTCTAATTACTCGTCCTGATCCAATATTACGCCTCGATTCCGTCTCTCTGTCATAAAGTTAATCAGACAATAATTACTATTGTCGGTGATATCGAATTTTTCAGCGGCTCTCTTTCTTAGTTTAGCTGCGGATGCACGAATGATATATTACCTACTTTGGTATACTGATTGGCACGGAATTTACGTTTTTTCCCACGCGAAGGATTATTCGGATTTGCCCGGAATCCTTTTCTATCCATTTCTATTTCGAGAGTCGTGTTACAAAAATCAACTACTCCATTCGAGGGTGCGCAATGGACTGAAGTCTATTAGGAAAACTCATTGCAACCTAATTTTAAAGACACAGGTATGAACACTATCGAATGTCAACAGTTTTCCAAAGGAGCACCTCTCGCCTATAATCCAACCTCGCACGTCTCTAACAGCGCTGAAAGACTCTATTATTGCACTGCAACCATAGTGCACCTGCCTACTTGTACGCGCTCGGCGTTGGGGCCCTGTAGTTCCGTCAATATTTGGAATTTTTGAAAAATGTTTTCTCTACAATACTTTGAAATAGTGGTAGGATAATAAAATGTAAAAAAAAAATCAATTTTTCGACCCCGGAAAAAGCGAAGACCCCCTTAAACCTAAATACTGATTGCCCCCAAAAATCCAATAACTGTGGATTACGAGGGTACGGGATTTATTCGAATGAGGGGTGGATTCGTGGACGAGAAAATCAATAAATTAAAAAAACATTTATCGAAGGAGGAACCAAAACCAATATCTTAAACTCTATTCGGGAAAAGGTATAGCTTGATGTTCAAATTATAGAACTTAATTGTACTGACGTGTTCCGCTATTGCCAAATTATTACAAAATCTTAAATTCTCCAAAATACAAAATTTACCAAAAAGTGACGGGAAGGAATTTCAAATAAATATAAATTCTGGTTAATACCGCGAAAGGGCTCGACAAGCTATAATTATAAATTTAATTTGAAAAAAAATGATTACCAACCGAAAGTAACAGAGAGACATGGAAGTATCGTGTACGAATCTGAGAGAGCGAGGACGCATGAAGGTAGCGTAAAAGTGAGAGAAAACGAACTAGGAAGCTACGCGAAATCGAAAGAGAGCTAGAGAAAATATAGGCATTTTCTCATTTTCGGGCAATAATTATTCGAATTCTGGGTTTTAGATAACCTTTGTAGTAATTTCCCGATAATTCACCAATTGTGGTATATTAAAATCAGGGATATTATTCATCGAAAAGGGAGCTAGAGAGCTTGAATCAGCCACGTGGTTGTTTCACCGGAAGAGAGCATTTCATAACCGAAAATGGAGTTTTTCTCCACCGAAATAGGTAGCTTCTGGTATCAAATGATTCACGACTTAATAGGTAGTTGTGTAATTGACGCAAGAGAGCCTAAATGTTATTATTGTGGATTCCAACCATAAAAATCGAACGTAACAGAAAGATAGCGTTCCCAAGCCCAATGGGAATTCCATAAATCACAAGCGATAAAGGTAGCATAAAACCACGTAAAAGGTAGCAAAAAGGTATCTCAGGTAGCATAATTTTCCTCTCAAAACTCTTGTGAGTGGAAGAAAAATTGGAAAAATGGATAGCATAAGATACTTAAGCGTAGATAAGCAAGTAAAGAGAGCAAGCGAAAAGGCAACGATTGAAAATGTAGCGTATGTATGACATCAATCGCCGTAGCGAGACGCATACACCACGAATTTTCCCATAAATTACCATTCTATGTAGCATTATTAACATCGGGATTTATTCAGGTAGCTGTAAGGGAGCATTTGGGTTCGTTGTAGGGTTTTCTGTAGGGTTTTCATAAAAATATGACATATTTTGACAGATTCTGTCAAGCACAATATGTCATATTTTGTCATATTAAGACATTTTCTGACGAGCACCCGTATTGGGAATCTTCACAGAAAATGTCAGAATATGTCAAAATATGACATAATAAAACATTTTATGTCATATTGTCACAAATTTTGTCAGGGATGATTTAATGACATTGTGACGTATTGAGATCGATCAATACGTCGATTAGGATAATGTTAAGAGATCTTCGGTCGACATGGTGGATCGTGGGAAAGAGGAATATGATCTCTCTTTCCTGCGATCCAGACATGAGCTCAGCAGCCACACGGTGTCGTTTAGACATCGTGGTAAGCGGTTACACGGTGCCACCTGAGTCCAGGTTCCCTTTTGGAAGCTGTTTGACTGTTTAGGTCTGTGTCAATGATAACACATGACTGTGTTAGTCAGGGCGAATCGTGGGACTGCTTACCCTGCAGTTTTGAGTTTGGAGCGTCTCTCTGGACTCCTTAGAGACCAGAGTATGATCGGGAGCAAAACGGAGCGGATCTCCGAACCCGTCAGGCTAATATTCAATGTAGCCCGCGTATACCGGCCCGATTCAATAGATAGTGTACCGTGACAGCAATCCGTAGATAAAATATATGAGTAGCTTTTATCAGTGAATCGTATACCTTATTTACGGACAATACCCTCTTCCCAATAAGAACATCCCTCGGAGTGAGCGAACTCCCCGTGAGCTCATCACAGAAGTTAGCCGAGGTCGGAGTGACAATTACACATACAAAGGATTACAGTGCAAGATTAAAAATAGTGAAAAGGACTTTCATTACGTTTTACCTCCGCATAAAACGTACAAACGTCACATTGGCGCAGTATTAATAGTGTGTCCATACGGTGGGACACCGATTGCCAGGCTGACAGATTAGGCAGTGTGGGGATGGCCATAGAGGCTGATGAAGTGAATTACGGTTGGAGAAAAACCAAGCTTGGTCGTAAACCGTAGGTCAAGCAATGGATTCTTGGCCTGCGTGAGAGGGTATCAGGTCGACTAGTAGGGGGCAAGGTCCCTATCACACGGCAGAGACTAACTTGTCATGAAACATTACCCATCAAACATGAAAATGTCGGGGTCCCACAGAAAGAGC